AAGAGACAGCCACAAAAGTGTGGCATTAATGATCTTTTTTTGACACAATCACCAGTTACCTGGAGGCAGCAAAGAGAGGTGATGCTCCTACCATTCAGTGCAGTCCAGCACTCTATAATTGAAAATATACATCGCTGCTTTCCAAGGAAGATGCAAATAAAATCAGGGCTCGCTGAATTAAGTAGAAGTTTGTATTTAAGATGGATCCTTGGCAAACACACACTTATTCCAATTAGATTTCTCAGCTTTGGCACTTCAGAGCTTCTGGGAAAAGTCCCATGAAAGAAGACATGCTAGATTTTAACAAGGGGGGAAAAAAATCCCCCCCGGAGTGCCATCTATCTTACCCTTTCACAATGTCACAGCAGGAAGCATTTCCATGCACTGAATACTGACAGATGAGTTTCACTGCAAAGATGGAAAGATTGTGCAAGAAAAAAATCACAGGGTGATGTTACTCAGCTTCTCCTATTAAAACAAGTCGACACTGCATGGATGAATAAGTAAATGAGCATTTGCTAATCTGCAGGATGATAAAAATTGCTTTAGTCTTTTAAATGGCACCAAATACAACAGGCAAATACAATTAAAACAGGACACAGCATTAGCATTCTTGATATGGCAGGCCAAGGTGAGGAAGAAAGCTACAGAATATTTGGAAAAACGTTTCTACTTTGAGCCACATGAACAGTGTAATGAACTTCCTTGCTGTGTATTGCACATATGGCTTTGAAATGATTTTGGCAAAGGCAAACACTACTAGAAAATATAAGGACTTTTAAGGAATCCAGCAAACTGCCATGTCCTGAAGTAGTATCTCAAAGCCACCATGACAGATGTACATATAGAAAGTATTTTTAGATTTCAGCTAACAAATAGCAGACACAAAACCCATAGAAACTCTGGCTAAGCAACACAAAATTCCTGAACTACTAAGCTGATGTGGTTTTGTATTACCAGGGTATATGTCTGTTCTTTCAGTATTCAGCCTTCCTGGATGCCACAGAAAGCAAATCTACAGAGCTCTATTTGTTCACTGTACAAAACAGCAAATCCTACAGTTTTTAGCACATCATTTTCGAGCGACTAGTCACTAAACTTGCTCATTGCTTAGGAATCTGTGGAAGCCATTAAACTGACAATTAATGGCCCTGGTCATCCACATAATTACTGACAGGCTGACTTCTCCATTAAATCCAAAGCAGTCCTAGCTAATTAACTAGTAAGCAGTTAAATTCAAAAAGAAAACTCATACTACCAAACTGATGAGATTGTATCAGTGTGAGAAGACTGAATGTTGGGAAACACCTTGCTTAGTTTACAAAGAGACACCAATCACCTTTTTATTCTGATTTATCGAGCTCTAAACCAAGAGGATGGTTGCCCGTATTTCAGTGATCCTGATCTAACTGCAGTGCAACGTGGAAATCAGGAATGTTCCAAAAAGTAACACTACAAAAATGAAGAATGCAAACTTTCCCCAAGCTGGAAACAATTATAAGTTAATGAAGGGGGGGGGGGATGGTTTAGTGGAAGAGAAAGAGTGAAGGGAAACTACAATTTTATCTGAATGCTTTATTAAATGCTGAAATCCAGTCACACAGTCAACAAGCTTGCAAGAAGGTTTCAGGTTAAAAACGGGCTGAGTGTGGAAACTGGCACCAGATCTACAGAAATACAGTCATTGAAGGGGATGCAGTCAACATGTTGGAGGGCTAATCCACCCTCTGGAGGGACCTGCATGGGCTGGAGGAAAGGCCAGCAGCAACCTCAGGAGGCCCAGCAAGGCCAAATGTGAAGCCCTGCCACTGGGACACACTGAGGCCCTGCATGGGGACAATCCCAGATGCTGGGCTGGGGACACCTCTGCTGGGAAGGTGCCTTGGGGTGAGGAGAGGCTGAAGGAACAGGGCTTGCTGGTGGAGAGGAGAAGGCTTTGGGAGGACCTAAAAGCAGTCCCCCAGTAGTGATCAGGAGATTACTGAGAGGACAGAGCCTCCATTGGGATGTACTGCAAGAGAACGTGAGATTGTACTCATAAGCTGAAAGGGGGGGACATCTGACTGTGTACATGGAAAAAAATTACCATGTGGGTAACTAAGTTTTGCAGGATCCAACATCACCTGAGGACAATCACGACTGGCAAAAGTGAAGCCTTACAAAATTGATCACAATGACGATGAAATCACTTGAACAGTACCATTTTTAATGCAGGCAAATACAGCGGTCCTATCTCTGTGAAGTTAATTAAAACTCACACATGTCAGACAGTATCTTCTGTCACTGAAAAGGTCTTTTGATGAAAACAACCAATTACAACATTACTCTCCACATCAATTCTGTAGCTGGCAAGAAAGTAGGCTTTGGACACAGAAGCAGAGGGCTAGCAAGCCTGATTATTGAAATAATCTGTTTATATTGCATTTGTGAAAATGGATGTTTGACTGCACAATTTTATTGGACAACCTTCCAAAAAGTTACTGAGATTTTGCAAAGTGTGAGGAAGAACTGTAGAATTACCCAAACTGCATGAACAATCATATGTACTTGAAAAAAGAATTAATGTAAAAGTGACTTGATGATCACTGACTGAAGGAAAAGAGTTCAGTAACTGACAGCTCCTTCCTCAAGCTGAAGAAGGACCCTGAGGGTCGGAAGCTGAAGCTGCACTAACTCAGATCTCAGATAAGACATTTTTTTAAAGCAATTAACTGAACAACCTGAGCTCTGAATTTTGTATCATTTTTCCATCTCAGAACAAGGCTGCCTTCCCAAAAACTACAACTATATGCTCAGGTTTGAGCCATAGATTTAATGCAAAAATTAAGAGGTCCCTTATGCAGGAAGAGACCATAACTGTCCATTCCAGCCTGATCTGTAACACAAACATTCACAGTATAACTGTTTTCCAAGAAGCAATAATAAGGATTTGATATCTATGATGTGACTTCTTCCAACATCTGTAAGGCCGCAGCCATTTTTGATGACTTAATACCAGCCTGCGGAACTGAACAAACTCCAGTCTCACATTTTCAACAACCAGAGGCAGGCTTCAGATTAGCTGTTAACCTCTCAGCCAGCCACGCTTAGCCTGGAGTGTCAGCAAAGGGATCCCAGAATCTAAAATCACATCAGTGAAACCCTGAGTCACCTCCTCCAGGAGAACCACAGAAGACAGCTCAATGTACATTTGTTTTGGCTGTTACAAGCCATACACTCCCACACTGTCAAATGACCAAAGGCATTCTCTTACAGTATCTGTTAGACACAGATGTTTGTAAACAAAACTATTTGTATATAAATATATTTGGACATCTGTTTATATTATACAGGTTGTGCTTGCAGGCACATACATTACATACATTTTTTTACATGACTGTATTACACAGGTAAAAATGTCTCGGGGGAAAATTCATTAGCATTCTGCTATTAATCATATCATGCATTGCAAGTATTTTCTTAAGAGACAGGACAGCACCACAGCAGTTCCACTTCACAACAAAGTGCTGCTTATATGCTACATGACATCTATGCCTAAGAGAGACAAAAACTAACTCACACTACAATTGCACCTTTTGAAGCTAATTGTAAAAGCAGCTGTTTCTCTGCCTTGTATAATTTATTCTCTCCAGAAAGGCATTATTGGTGTTGTCTTGACATTGCTGTAGGACATACTATTGAAAATCCAGCACCACCTGTTAAAAACTTGGCAGTGTGTGTCATTATCAATGAAATACCTAAACTAAATTCAAATAAGCTCCAAAAAGAAATTAACAAGGCAGAATATGAATTTTACAGACACCTGTAACAAGGCTACTGTTTACTAAATAAAAAATGTCTGTGAAAAAAATATTTTCAATTTAGAACACTGTCAAAACAACAACCTCCCTTTCACTTCTCCCACTGTTGCTGTTACCTGAAAAAACTTCAAAGCTATTAGTGTAGCTGTACATACTTGGAGTGCTCACATCTCCATATTTGAGGAAGGTGTGTTTTTAAAAATCAGGTAACATTCTTCCTTTCTTCGGATTCCCAAGATTTCCAATTTCTGAATGAGGTTGGGAGATGCAGGATAGCGATTTCTTAGTGTTTCATTACTTTTAGGGAGGAAGACGTTACTGTCTGGGTAATCTCAGGTCAAACAATTTGCTCACAAAACTGGTAAGACTCCCCTGCCACAGCCTCAGCACATCTGGCAGAAGACTCTGCTAGTACTACAGGAGCATCACTCCTTGAAAAAAATCTACCAGACAAACTGCTTTCCTCTGGCACTCAGGAGAAATCAAGTGTCAATTTCGACACTCAGCAATAGGTGTGTAATCTCAACATTCCCTAAGAGCTACAAATTTCCCTGGCAAGATATTAGAGAATAATTCAATCTAACAATGTAAACAAAGAATATGATTCAGCCTGCTACTTTCACTACACTGGTTTTGTTTCTCAGGCTGTACCTCCTCTGAGTATTTTCAGAGTTTTATGACTTGGAAGGCTTCCTGGGACACTTTGCCAAAATAATATAACAAAGCCACCCTCTTCGAGAACAGGTTTCTATTAAATTTTTCACAACTTAGGCTTATGGTCTCATCCCAGCCCTGCAAACACTGACAAATACCAGAATAGCTAAAAGATCCCCCAAATAATTCCCACTCCATAACCAGCAGAGTGGCATATGGGGCTGGTGAACAGAGACAGGGGAACCTACGCAGAGAACATGTATAACTTCAGGGAAAATCTCAGAAATAAGGAAGAGATCACTTATTTTGGGAATATGACTACATTATGGTCAATATTTCTAGCATATGGTGAATAACGCTACTGTGTCAAGTTTACTTTCCCAGATAAAGCACATTTTGTTTGAACAACTGGTTGCTGATACAATGAATCACTCGACTGCCTGAAGTATCAAGCTCAAATGCTTTAAAAGGACTGACTGGGAATCGCCAAGTACAGTATGTGTATTTGTTTAGGAACAACATGCTTTAAATAAATCGCTGACTCACCTTGTCACGCAAATGGTGCTCTGCAGCCTCAATATTCAAAGGATCATCAAAATTCAAAAGATCCTGGAAAAGAAACAGAACATTTTAGGGTTCCCACGCACTCCATCACACAAGGAATCCAAAGACCCAGTGAACAAGATAATGAAACAAAGCAACCAAGACCAGCAAGTGTAGTGCCATTTTCTTACTACCTTGATAGGTATCCCTGCCAAAGGTAAATGCAAATGAATTTGATTTTTGCAAACCAAACCACACGTCAATTAAAAGGACAACAGCAGCAAGGCACTTGACCCCATCTGGTGGCACACCACACACAGCCCTGTGACACCTCTCCCTGGCAGTGATGCATTTCTGAGACAGTTTTAAATCAAATTTTGAAGGAACATTCGAAGTTTCAGGAGGCACAACTCCCGTTGATTTTTGCTCAAGGGTAAAGTAAACCCTTAAAAAAACCCTGCAAACAGCCTGGTAATAAAGCAGGAAGAGTGTCCTCACTACCATCTCCATAGCAAAGCAATTTCACTCCCTCGGTGAAGAAACTACATAACCTGGAGCCTGACAGACAGGAAAGTTTTAGTGCAATGGGAAAAACAGGACCCAGACGAATGGGAGTGCAAAGACTCCAGAGCTAAGGACACACAGAGCAGAAAGAGTCAAAATAAATCTCCAGTCTGACAGTTTCATCTCAATAAATATTAACTTCAGAAGGAGAAAGGATCTAGGGTTCAAACCAAAGGAAACTAAGATGCTGATTAAAAGGAAAATCATCATAAAAAATAACACTGAATCACAAAACCCCCTATTCTGCCTACAGCCCAGATCTCTCTCCCCATTTTAAGGTTAGCCTGTGACAGCAGTGAAATGCTATCATTTAATGAGCATGAAAGGCTCATGTCACTCTGACTCATTTTCAAGAAGCAGACCTCCCACTTCATTCAAACCAGGACACCTATCCACTTCATTTTCACTTTCTTCAAAAACACCCCAAAAGAATCTGCAAGGTCAGTACGATCCAGTGCCAGCTTTTCAAAGTCTAATTATCTATAAGAAGCTGGTGTAAGGGAAAGACAAGAGGCAAGCTGGGAAGCACGGCTTTCACAAGCCGTGACAAATCCCCATGGTCTCTGATGCACGACCATCGCTCTCTGCAGGCAGCTCTGCGCAGCTGATTGTTTTTACCTGCAGTTCTCCCTCTGAAGGCACTCCTTTGTACCTCCAGCGGATTTTGCTTTCTTCCAGTTACTTAGCATGCAGTGGGAGACTAACTGTGAAATGCAATTACTCTTTGTTGAAAAGACAAATGTTCTCCAATCTTCTCTAAATCAATCGACCAAAGAAGTTGTAGAAACAAATCAAGCCTTTGGATGCCAGGAAAGCCTAGGAGATTGCAGCCAGTCACTGGCTTGATCTATGCTAGAGGTTTTAGAAACGCAGCATGATCCTCGTGATAGTGCCAGGAGCACAGGCACTGCTCTGTCCCTCCTCCTGCAGGTAGCGGTGGAAGGAACTCCTCTCTTCAAAACAAGCTGGGACTAGTAAAGCCCACAGCAATGCTCCTCATCCAAAGCTTTTCACAGCCTCCTCTGTACACCCTGGAGTGGCTGGGGTAGTTCTCTCCAGAGTCAATGACAAACGTGGCATCCAAGTTAGTGTCTTTGCTTTCTCCTGACCTTCCTACCCAGCAGCAATGGATGCAGAAGGGGACCATAACCCTGGACTCCCAAAAAAAGGCAGCTTTTGTACAGTAAAGATTTAGCCTCTCTCTGCTTTTAGGGCAAAAGCAGCTGTTGCATCCTGCCTGCTTTTTTGCAGCTTCCTGCCCTCTCTGGCATTTTCAACCTGCTTCTTTAACTACGAGGCAGAGGTTTCTCGCTCCTGTCAACCTAAGGAAAAGGGGGAAAATGGGATGCCTGAACAAAGTAATATAATTCCTGTGACAAGTCATGGTTTATGCAAATTCTGTGGGTGGACACCGAGGCCCTTGAACAGGAATGTAAGTGTTCAAAACAGGAATGACACTGCAGGGCAGTCATTAATACATAAACATAACTTTTAAAAAACATAACACCAACACAATTCCTTTTCAGAGCAATACGCATTTCTATTTCCTGGAAACCAGCAGAAGGAACTTCATACTCTGTGGAAGATCCCAAGTAACTTGCTACCAAAATAGATTTGTAACCACAAGTGAAAACGACGTACAAAAAAGATATTTCAGACAGTCTGTATGAGTCTTGCAGTTATACAAACAAAAGCACAAACTGATTTCATACTTGTACAACACTCACTGAAGCCAAAGGAAATAATGACCTTAAGAGGCAACAGATGGGGTTCACATTAGGTGATGCTGAAACCAAACGAGGCAGAAAAAAGGAAAGTGGATATGCAAAACTTCATTTACTTACAGTAAATAAAGAGTTTAACCCCCAGACAACATCCTGCAAAGGAAAAGCACAGTCAGTTAGGCATGCATTTCAGGTGTTTTGAACACATTCACATACTCTGTTTTTCTATTAATCCATGAAATTACTGGAAATCAAATCTAGATTAAGGGTGATGTTTTACTATTTAAATCAAAATATGAAAAAAAGCTTTCATGTTTCATTGGATGCACATTTAGAAGTCACCAAAAAACAAATACTGCATATTGAAATACAAGTTCAGATCTTTCTATCTGTATAGTCTTGTTCCTGTTGCTTCTCTGCTCAAGAACTGGAATAATACCTCCGTATATGCCACTGACCGAAAACTACACTGCTTCGTTCAAAGGGTAGGCATAAAACTTAATTCAGCAATTCATTCTTAAAAAAATAAAATTGTGTCAGACAAATATTTGAAATTGCATCATATCAGAGAAAAGATATTCAAGTGTAGTATGAGCACAGAAAAATACCATTCTTCTACCAGTATATGTTTCAAATTTTACTGCCTCTAAGTACCTATCTAAAACCAGCTGAACAGAGAGGTTTGCAATTCCTGCAAATGGGAAGTTTCAGGGGAAACTGCCTTCAAACGATCCCTCATTTGTTATCAAACACAGTTTATTTGGGATGGGCATCTCCAGAAAGGTTCCACTAGCACTGATCTCAGAGTCCACATCCTCAGTTACAAACTTCAAAGATGAAGAAAATGCAGATATACGAATATTACAAGAAAGAGACTGAAAAGGATTACCTACCACCAACTCTGAGGCTAAGTTTTGCTACCTAAAGGAAAGATTATTTTCTCTAGCAGCAACATAACTAAGGTACCCTACTGCAAAATCCCACTGAAGCCTAGGCACCACAGTTCACAACTACCAAAGATTCATTACGATGAGCATTGCACTTTCTGCCCTTACAGCCTGCTAGCACTTGACTGCCTCCCCATGAAAACCACACTGCCTGATTTCCAGTAGCAGGACAAACACTGCACATTAATCATTTCATGGCTAAAATGTACCTTTCACACTAAAGATAAAGCCTCAAAGTAAAAACTTCCTGTCCACAGTAAAGAACTTCAATAAACAAGCATATTTCAGCTTGTTTCCTGTTCTGGGCCCTCCACTGAAAGCAGTGGACCACAGAAATGCATATCCCTTAAGGATGCTATCCAATTATTTCCTAATGAAAAAGACAAGATGTCAGCGTTATCCAGACAACAGCCTCTCACAATCCAATTTTCCTTTGATCTTGCATAAACAGCCTACTCAGTTTATCTGTTTTTAATATGTCAATCTGCCCAGCAAAGCTGACATTGTCAGACAGCATTTTCAGTTTCACCAGCTTCTCCTAATGAAGCTGCTGCAATCATCAGGTGTGGTAAAGACAACAAACCTTTCAAATGTATTCATCACCTTCAACAGCAGCACAGACTGCAAAAAAAAAAACAACCTGCAAAAAAAGGACATACCCAAGACACCTAAGAACTACGCTTATCCATCCACACATTTTAAGACTATAGTGCTGAGTGGTCATCCCCGCTCCCAAACAACCATACTGACTGATCTTTGGCAAGTATGAGAAAACAGACTATTTCAAATAATGGATGAAAGCCATTATTTTATCCCTTCTTTCAGTTCTGTGCTGCTTATTCAACTACAACTACTGTCACAGAAACAGGGTACAGCAGAGGTTAGCAAAACATGGCATTAAGGAAGCTTGTATTAAGCAATGCCAGGGTTAAACTATTTGTACAGCGCAGTAGTGCTAGAAGAAAAAAACCAAAATACCAAAGTCACAGATTAAAGGAGGATTTCAGGCGTGTGGAGAACGTGGACAGTAGGAATAGGTATGAAGGTCTCAGCCTCCACTCTCCTGCACTCAGGCATGCGAGGTGACACAGCACGGGCTGCCACGGTGTCACCCCTCTCAAGGTCTGCGCTGCTCGGGTGCCCCCACATACACTGCCCACAGCACGGATGCAGCCTGAGGGCTGACTGATCCAGGGTGGGTAACTAGGGATGGCTGAGAGCACCTCTGTCTCCAGGCAGCCACCCTGCCCCAGCAGGTGCTCTGACTCTCCTCCAAAGGTCAGGAGCCCTTGCCACTGCTGCCCTCAAAAGCTGCATTGTCCTTCAGGGGGGCAGAACGAATTGATTGACTGAATATCTTGGGGGCATTAAGAATTTCTTGCGTCTGACTTTAACCCACTCTGTGTTTCCCACAACCTTTGATAATGGGATCTTACTAAAGCATGGTAATTTGCTTTCTTCCACTTGGCGCAGGAATAAATTAACTTTTTAAGGGTCATCTTTCATCTACACCATGTGACAGTAGACTGCAGCTGGAGAACATGATAGTGAATTACAATATGGAGTGTTAAAAGACATCCTAAAGAGGTACAAGGAGCTCACACTGGCACCCTGGGGTCTATCCATTTCCAAAATCTTCCTGAACACCAAAAGGCATTCACAGAGTTGCAAAGTGTTCACAGCTATTCAGCCACTTACCAGCATGGCTAAAAACAAACCCAAGAGCAACTCAGTCACATTGATTCTGAAATCCTGAAGCGCTTACCTTCTCTTTACATTTAACAGTGCTGAAGCCCCCCATCTCCCAGATCTGGAGGGCTGAAGCCCCCCTGGACACGTGCAGAGTGTCCCTCCAGACAAAACAGTTTCTCCAATGCAAGAAGTTACAAGCTGTACCTTACACAAGTAAATGTTGCAACTCAAAACAGAAATGTAAAGCCTATAAAATTATTTTCCCACATCATTCCATAAACATCTCCTTTTGAAGTTCACATAAATTGCTCACAAATTCTCATTTGTGGAACCCTGATTTTAAGACTTTGGGACACTTGACTCATTATTTAATTCGGGCTGGCTTTGCACAGTTCTATCAAAATAACCTCACCAAAAACCCAGCAAAAACCTCTGTAAGAGGATAAGCATTCAGAGTGCTGTACATTTTCATAGCCATTCTAGACACCAAAAAGCATTAAACTATTATTATCACTGAATAACTTGTGTGAAATTCTTAATATTGTTTCTGATCTATTTCCACCTATTCAAGGTTTATGATATGCTGGATTAATTTTATACCCTTGCATGGCTCCATAAAACTAATGCTAAATTACTAGCAGAGATCAACACTTTTTGTAACGAGTTCGAGGCTAGCCTGGATTTAAATCTAGGATATTGAGAGAGGGCAGTGGTATGGAACAGATGAGCAAGAGCGAAGCTAGTATTTCACATCTGAAAAACCTGACACTGTTGCATTGCAAAAATTATCACTTTGCATTATCGACTTCATCAGAGCTGCTTGCTGCATGCAGATAAGCACTTGCCTGAATGCCTGCTTCATATTCTCCTGCCTAACTAAAAGGACTTGCAAGCCACCAAAGAACAGATCTTGTCAGATTTAACAGCTCAACAACTTCAATTTTAATTTAATAAAGCATCATCCTTGGCTACAAAAATTTACTGAGCTTCTGGGTTAACTATTTGCTTTCAGAGTATTTAACCCTATGTACAAGCATTTTTAAAGGTTATCTTCACACGTAGGAGCAGGGCAGGTGTCACCTTAAAATGTTAACGCACAGCTTTATGCTGCTCCACTTCAATAAGAGAATTGACATGCAAAAGGAAATCAGACACAATGCCTGTTCACATGATGAATACTTGACAAGGCTGCTTTCCTTTACAATGTTTATTTTTGTCTACTTTCTTCTGCATAATTAACATCAAAGTTACAGGGTACAAGTACACACACTACTGAGGGGTAACCTCAGAGCAAAACCGAGGACCTCTTGCACTTTCCGCAACGAAGCGGCACAGTCCGCTCAGGATGAACCCTGCAGAAAAGGCTGCAGAATTCCCCGAAGCACTTTACCTGGTTTCTGCTCCAGCTGTGCCCAGGCAGGCCCCCTCCCTGTCCTCCTGGTCTCCCTGAGGCTTTGCATCAGCACAGACCACACACTCTGCTCCTTGGCACTATTGAGCTCAAGCACAGGGAAGTCAACATGAGCAAGTCAGAACACCCACCGTTATAAATAACCCTTTATAATTGCCCCTTTGCATTCGTATTTTTGTGTTGCATTTGTGTGAAAAGTTATGTTAAGCCCCTGCCCCCAGATTTATTTACAGCATGCCAAATGAGGAAAAAAAGAAACTGCCACTAAAGCAGTGTTTAAAGTTCAAGAGCAACGAATCAAAATACTAAATACAGCTTTTGAAATAGCCTCTCCCAGGGCTAGAGAGTCTCAAAGCATGGCATTTGCAGGAGGTCCTAATGCAGTTAGTCACCAAATCTTCCCAAGCAGCAGTTCTCACAACACAAAAGCAAAGCCACTGAAACCATGTAACAGACAAGTATTTAGCTACGCTCGCTGGTATTTGGAAATACAACCACACAACACTTCTTTTGTAAACACAAATTGTAAATTAAGATTTCCTTTTAACAGGCAAAGTATATTTAATACATTAACTTAAGCAGAGAACAAGCCAGACAAAAGCAGCTAATGAACTTCCAAAGAAACTTCTTTAGAGATCCAAGGAACATTTCTGATCTAATATACTGATTAATTTAGAGATTGCTGCTAATCCATTTTTTTACATACAAACAATTTAACCCATCCAGTTCAATAAAAGGAGAATAGTCATTTATACAAGCAGATGTCTGAAGCAATTTTTTTTATCAGACTGAAACAGAAACTCCAATAAAACAAGTGCTAAGCTTCGTACATCACAGTTTGGAAAATGTCTTGAAATTACACCCAAAAACTTGGCATGCTGAAAGCCAGGCCTCTCATGGCTGTCTCCTGGTGTAGCTCTCTGCTCTCCTGTTTGCTACGCAGCAGCTCAAGATGGCTCTCCACTTCCATTCACCTTCTTCCATGGTCTCTTAGAAACAAGCCCAGCTTCTTTCCCTCTTCACTGCTGCCTAGAAAACCAAGCATCCTTCATCCCACCTTCCCCAGGCTCTGCTGGGCTTCTCTTTCTGCCTCCACAAACATC